GCACTCCCCTTTCTTCATCCTCCTCCTCCCTTTCTTCTTTTTCTTCTCCTTCCTCTTCTTCTTCTTCTTCTTCTTCTTCTATTACTTCTTCATGCTCCTTCTCCTTGCTGACGCATGTCTGCCTATTCGCCGACGAAACTGCTCTAACCGTCAGCGCACCAGCCACCGTAAACGACTCCGTGGCTGTGGGCTTTGTCGCCTCATCGTTTGGCGCTTGATGACTACCGCCGGTCTGCGTGTGATCCCGTCTGCAATTGCCGGGAAAAGGTGTCGGACGTCATCAGAAGCTTTCTTGATCCTGTAAATATGAGTCGTTCTAGACGTAGTATCAATAACGCCTCAGGACCCTGCAGTGGCCTTTCCACCCCAACCGAAGTTGTGCTTGCACCCTAAATACACTTCCAGACAACACGTCCGTAAAATCAGACAAAGAAATGACATCAGAGACTCTTATGCCCTTATTTATCAAAAGACTCACCCCTTAAAAGCTGCCAAAAGTTGCTTTCGATGGCTGACCATTATTTCTCCGGATTGTAGAGCGTTCAAATGGCCGTTTCACCATTTCGTATGACTAAGTGCCTTTGAATGACATCATGGGCCATGGGGAGCAACCTTTTTATGTATTCAGAAAAGGCCAGAGAATCTAAATGGGAACGTTTCTTGAGTTTTCGCCATACGTTCACCGCTCGGCAGACTACAGCTCACTCGTTCTTTGCGGCAAAAGTCACGTTACTATTGTGTATCAGCGTTCCAACTGTGTTGGATCTGTATAGAACGAAGGAGCAGTGACTCCCCATTCAGTCCTTGGTCTTCTGCAAGTAAGCTGTCCTGTCTAACACAACGGTAAAAGGTTCTTTGTCTGTGAGCACGACTGCAAGATTTTCGGCACCTTGGAGAGAGCTGCTGTCTGGTCTGGAAATCAGAACGAGTGATCAGACTTGGTGTCTCATAAATGTTTTCGTTTATTCTCCTGTAGCCGCCGGCTGACTGAGGACAGACTCTACTCCTGCGATCAGGCTCACCACTTTCGCACAGGGGGTTTCATGCCGTACCACTCAGACAGTTTCACCCTCAGTGGCAGGTTTTGCAGCAGTTTCTTATTTTCAGATGAAGTTCAACCAGGCGGCCTGCGAAACTTTCGCTGCAGTACTACGTCGCGTGTCGCCTCCCATTAGCGAATTCGTTTGGCCACATTCTGTTAAGGTAATTTTTCCCCTATTCTCTCGAGGCAGTTCATTGCGGTTGGGCTACTCGTCGGTCAGTCCCTAATCCTACCTGTGAAACCCCGATCGACAATCGTGAAGACGAGTACTCGGTTGATACACCCACCAGTTTAAAATACTGCCCATCTCACACCATCTTCCGTTCACTTCAGTTCAGTTTATTTGAGCGAAATGTAGGTGTTGTTCCTTTCAACTCCATATTCGTTGCAGGGATGGAAGTGTATCAAGAAAGTTGGAAAAAGGAGACATCAAAGAGCTACAGATGAAGCATCGAAACTGTATGGATGAAAAATCAATCCAAATGCTGTAAACACCGACACTACAACGAAAATGGTTCAGTGATCAGTCAATGAGTGATTTTGTTTTTGAAAAATGGACCCAATGTCAGTTATCTGAAGGAGCCAAAGTGAAAGTCAGCATTTTCGTGCTATGAATTTGGGATAGTCAATTGAAAGCAACCAATGTTACTTAAATACAAACAATAATATTATAATAGCAACAAATTGTCAGAACGGAACGTTATGACAATATCGGTGCGGTAACATTACGATGTGTAGTGGTAAACTGACCCGACTTGCGCTCTAAAGCCTCGACGGATGTGTACACAATGATATCTGCAGTCAGAGCATTCCAAGCTTCAGCCACCCTGTCGGAGAACAAAAACTTCCGTTTCCGACCTGACGCCAGTCACAAGGAGGTTCGTTGTGGTGCTAGCTGAAAGACATCACTTCTGACCGCTCATGATACAGAATGTTTGTAACAGGTCGCCTTTTAGCTGTCTGCAACTCAGAGGAAAGAGATCGAGTTTGGATAACCGTGTTTCCTAGAGTAGAGAATTTTGTCCACTAACCAGCCTGGTTGCACGCCTCTGAACTTTCTTATGGATTTTGATGTCTTTAGTGGTCCAGAGTTTCCATACTTAGATAGTGAACTCCAACTCTGCCCACACAAAATTCCGAAAGACTTTCGTCAAACAGCTTTCACCGAAGGTATATAAAGTCCCCTTGACAAGGCAAAGGGCTGAGATCTGTATATGTATATTGGGTTTGCCCGAAACACACTGTGACAACATGCAACTGACGATGCACCAGCGGAGAAAAACCGAATCTACGCATACACAGAGATTTCTCGAAGGGCAAAACCATTCCACTGTCTTTACGATTTCATCAGCATAATGCGGGCAGATACAACGCAATTATTTGGATTCAGCGGCAACCACCCAGTCATGCTAGACAGGTATTTTATTGTACAAAAGTAGTAGTATTAACATCTAATGGGGCTATAGGTAACACACAGAAGCCACTTGTATAGGGTTGTTTTCTAATGGTGAAGGATTTGCACTATTTAGACGAACGCCTTAAAATATGGCATACTGCTTCTAGACTTTAGCATTGGTTTGCGTAA